CTTCCGATGCTTCTTCGTTTTTGGCCTCGGAAATTGGTCGCCTGGACGGACTTTATTTAATAGGAGCGCTTGCACTAAGTCACGGCCACGTGTCCCTATCCTCAATATCGTGGCCATTATAGCGACACACTGTTATGGCGATCATTTGGCTCGTCCGTCATTTATTGTGCACTTTCCATTTGTGCCGGAAAGACTATTAGAGTAGACTTCGGCCGTAGGACTTCAAGTCGCGCGGTTTGAAGCTTCGATTTAAGCAAGCCGGCTTGTCGTTAAAAAATTTCCACACGCGCACGCGCGCGCACATGCCGATTATTAAAGTTTAATTCAATGACGCATTGCGATTTAGGCACGTGCGATCCCTATTCGACCATTACCTCGTCGTCTAGTCGTATTTCTTTTTTTTTTTTTTTTTTTTTTTTTTCCTTTTTCTTTTTTTTTTAACGCATCATTTATATGCCACAAATAGCATCCAAAGACGTCTAATGAGACAATTCTGAGCTTTCTTTTCGCGCCTCAACATTAAGGTCTCTCAACTTTCTCCAATCGAGAGATAATGAGTTCGAAAAGAAAATTCATTACCCGTTTTATTGTTAATCACATTAATGTGATGCAATCACCTGTAATTACTAGCCAGAAACGAGCGATTAATGTGAGGCATTATCAACATGCTGATTACTATATTACATGTGCTAATGGGTGGTACATGAAAATGTTCCGTGAACATTGTTAATAGAGCCGAGGTATCATGCCTTTGGTATTTTATTCCATTAAATTTTCAAATTACATGCCCATATTAGCTTATTTATTATAATGCAACAATTCAGTTTTGTTTTTTTTTATTGCCCAATTAAGGTAGGTTGGAAGAGCTACGTATAAAAATACAAGAATTTTTAAATATCTACGCTCGTCATTCAAATTATTACTTCACATTTATTCAAATGCTTATTAGTATTAATAAATTGTTTCGTGAGTCAAATTTACTAGTTTCTAATTGCGGAGGCTCTACGATGCATCCATTCGCATAATATTTGCTAATACGAAAAACAATTTACATTGCTCGGTAAAACTATTTTTACTAAACTTGCCATATTTCGCCATTTTCCTTCGACTAATGCAATTGTTCGTTACTTTAAAGCATTAACGCTATTAACAGAAAAATTCGATTAGGCGAAAAATTAAAATATCTAATGAACCATCAATTAAAAAGTTTACTTTAAGCTTTATGAAAATATCTTATTTCTAATAAATATATCCCGTCATTATTTACAAATCCAAGTTATGGAAAACTCGACGCTTATTGTTAAAAATACTTAATGTTAAAAATAATATCTCGTCATGAATATTCAAATTTCCCAATAAAAATTTTTCTTATCGTATGTATTTAGACATGTAATATAATTATTATTATACTACGAAAAATACTAGTCACATTGTTTATGTTTATGTTATATTTAATTGGATTCAAAAATAAATTCTGCTTAGAATCGTCACAGAGTCTTACATCCTAATCAACTAGAAACTAGAAATTAATTTAATTAAAAAAAAAAATTTAATTTATTCAATAATAAAAAAAAGTTTTTCTTTCAAGAAACAACAATGTTTCAACCGTCAATTATTTCATTACAATCAGACTTTAAATCAATGTTATAATTTTTCTTTACATTTTCCATTATAATTTTTACAATTAATAAAAAATTCTATTACTCATGTCTATTCGATACGAATCTATTGAATATTGAAATTTCTGTAATTTTCGTGTAAATTCTATTTTGAAATTTATTTCTCATTTCAACATTTGTAAATAATTTTCTATATTTGTGTGTGCGCGCGCGCGCGCGTAATACCTCGAAATAAAATTAATAAAAAAAATCTTATATAAGATCAAATATTAAACTATACTTACTTGAGTGTACACTTTTTTTTTCGTAGGTTACAACAATTGGACCAAATGCTTCATTCACTATTGTTTTTGGTGACTTTTTAGAAGGAACTAATCAAGCTGGTTCCGTTACTACAATGTTAAATTCGTTATTTAATATAAGTTATTCCCTAGCAGGTAAGTCTTATTCGCAAATAATAAAAATAATTTATAATTAAAACGAACTAATACTTTCGTTCACCATTGAGAATTAATATTTTTCAATATTTTTTTTTGTTTTATTACGAATATATTAATGTTGTAACTAGATCATTGTATAATTTTAAAAATAATATATATAAAAAATAATTCAATATTTAAAGTAATATCATCTAGTAATTTACAGACAATAAAGTCAATTACATGTTAAATATAATATTCACAATTGGATCGAATTATTCGATAGACTAAAACAAATTAAAAATCCACATTCTTATATAATATATAACAATGTAAAAAGGGGGGGGGGGAATGTTAATTTTTATTAAATTGATTTTATTATTATTGACCCGGCAATTATTATATTAAAATTGTTTTAATACGATACTTATAATCCAATGCTAGAAAACAATTCAATTTTCAATTAGAATATTCGAGTTTGGATGAAAATTATTTGTAAATTTCAAAATTATTAATGAAGTATAAATGATCCATTGAAACTATTTTAGCATTGTAAATGCAATTTGAAATATCTTTTAAAAGTAATATTAATTCTGTCAATATTACAAAATATAATTTTTATAGAATGTTAATTAGCCATGTGCATGGGCGTGAGAAAAATATAAACCTCCGCAAATATTATATACATTTTAAAGTATAATTATATTGACTTGATAATCAAATTTACAAATACTAACTAATTCTTATATTTTCGTTAAATTAGACTTCGTATTCAAAACAAAAAAATCTTAATATATATTGCAAAGACAGTTTCTAGCGTTACATCAAATATTTCTTACATTAAATATTGATGAATAATAAGACTTAAGGATCGTTAATTTATATGAATGTACATCGATTAGCGGCACTTCTGCTTAATTATTCGATATATAATATTATTACAGCATTCGATCAAAAACTTTCCTTAATTATTTTCAAACTGTGCCACATGATTTGATATTAAGATTTATTTATCATAAACTGAGAATTTCTTATACGTCATGTCACAAATAACCTGCAGTAATTCATCGGTATTTAAAGATGTCGTAAAAAAGGCTCATAATGCTACCGTCGACCTCTTCCTATCTCATTTACTTTTCGCACAGACGAGAAAATATTAATAAGCACATTCAATATTTACAACGCGAATCTATACTGCGTATTATCAAGATAAGCCAGTCTTTCAATTTAATTATCGAATCACACCTGGAGGTAATCGAAATTCTTTGTAATTATACGATGAATACGAAAAATATATATTCGGAAATTACGCGCCAATTTGTAATAAAATTCATTAGAAAATTCTCCGATAACATTATATATGTTTTTTAATATGTAATCTTGAGCTTAAGATATGCTTTTAATTCTTATGTTTAATCATTCATTTGCACTTTAAAGCTTTATAAATATGAAAATAATCTATATATTTATTGTATATCAAAGTATATTCTAAAATTATTCTAAAATTTATTTATATTAGAAATAAAGTCATGTCAATTAAATTCATATTTTTCAATTATTAATGAATGGCGATTAACAAGAGTCTAACATTTGATTTTTCTTATATTTCAATTTCTTATCGGCTATTTGTGTCGAATGCGTATTTTTATTAATTCACACAAATGATTAAAACGATGTATTTTTTTAATCTCAATTCCTAAAGTCTTACTACAAAATAGTATCTATATAATAATAATATATATAATAATATATAATATATAATAATAGTATATAATAAGAACTTATTATACGAAGCACATTCATTTCTAAATAGATCGTAACATTATTAAATCCAAAAACATTATACATTTAACACGCATGTTTATCTTTTGGGCAAAAATCTTACTTACATAATCGTACTTTTTACTTTCTTTATTTTGTGTATTTCAAAATTATTAAATAAATCTGTATAGGATTTCAATTGTAGCCACCTTCTCTGATGCTCGATAAAAATAAAAAAAAAAAAAAAAAAAAAAAAAAAAAAATTCTAAAGAAAACATTAAAGAATTAATAACTGTTATACAGTACAAAACTGATTAAAACAAAAAAAAAAAACAAAAACAGTAACAATAAATCTATGCAAAAGTAATTGAAATAAGTCATAATTAAACATATAATTTTGTTAGAGATATTTCGTGATAATAAATGGAAAACTTTCCTGATGCAAATCTATAATTTCCTACTGTAAATGAAAAACAGTTATTCATACAAATATAATAATCTTTATGATTTCGATGAAATTGTTTTTATCAGTATTATCTTATAATTATTGTATTCATTGATAACTGATCACTGACAAACTAATTATAATTTATAATACATTAGTAGGCATAATAGTGAGAATTATTGTAATAGTAATACTATAAGTAAATGCTCTATTCATAATAGTGATGTTTGCTAGTCCAGAATCATAAATGTTTAACTTATTATATTAAAAATCTACATTAACTATATTAAATATATCCATATTATTTATAAAAATCTGAAGAATATTTGTATTGAATTATCTATTTGTTTCTTTTATTACTTTAATTGATATTAGTAAGGCCGGGAATAATTGTTTTAGATACATTTTTACCAAATTTTTTAAATAATTCAAATTACATATATCATTATCATTTATTGTATATTTAATTTAGGTTTGGTAACAAGTCCTCTGTTGAAGCAGTTCTCTATGAGATCAGTCGGCGTCATAGGCGCCATACTTTTTTCAGTGCCAAACGTTATGATGGCGTTCGTTCATCAGGTTCTAGAAATGGCTGTGATTTTCTTCCTTCAAGGAATTGGTCTAGGACTAATGTTTACGATATGCAACACCAACTTTAATGCCTATTTCGATAAGAAGAGGTCGATGGTATTAAATGAATAACATATGCACATGCCATTAGAAACCATTCATCCATTCGTCCGCAATTATAATATATTTTACTGGATCATTGCAATTCATAAGAGACTACTCGTTATTTTGAAGGAAATACTTAATAAGAAGAAGTTTTGATAGAAAATCATAATTGGAGAGCTTTAAATATTAGCTGCCACTCAATAAGATATTTATTGTGGTATGACAAACATTTATGTTTACATTTTATTCGATACTCGATAACTTTAATATCCATGATCCAAACATTCAAGAACGTGTTTCTTTCTATTTTTTTTTTGTTTTTTTTTTGTTTTTTGTTTTTTTGTTTTTGTTTTTTGTTTTTGTTTTTTTTTTTAATATAAGAATTTAAGCAATTTACAGGAATTTTGAGGCCCCACTATGTTGCATATAAATAATCAATATTTTTAGGTCAAAGAAACCATGATTCAATCGATCAATAAGCTAATCTAATGATTCTAAAACTAAAATAAACTCATTTTCATTTATTTTAATTAGCAATCATTGAAGCGTTGGTAATGTGCACAATTTAAAATTATTCGTCTAAATGTCATTATAAAAATCATTGCAAAAGGTACATAAATAGTTGTGAGTGAAATGCATTAATCAATTTTTATTAGGTTATGGGCATATCGCAGGCCGTGGTTGGCCTGGGAGGAATCGTATATCCAACTGGTATTGAACTTATGATGGAGGAGTACGGTTTTAGAGGTGAGCTCTCTTGGATCTTATAATTGGCGGACGATCGAGTCACATAATAGTAATCGCGGCATTGCCATCTTATCAAGCGTCCATTGAAAATATTTGAATTAACAATCGCTGCTGGCGTATACATTAGTGTGAATAAAGCATAATGACACACATGTTTCACGAAATGACGAAATTCTTTGTATACTTTCTTCGAGAATGTCAATAATAGTCATTCGATTGTTTATTCTATTGCTAATAAGATTATTAATATAACTAAAAATAAATATGTTGACAAGATTCTTAAGTAATTTTAAATTTATCATTGAATATAGATAAATTGAATATGCATTTCATATATATAAGTCGATTATACCTTGTGTAGTTATATATATATATATATATATATATATATGAGATTGTGTGCCAATCAATATTGTCGTCATAAATACAATACAATACATAAGTTTATCGGCATAACAATGTAAAAAGTATTTTCAGACAAATATAAATTTAAATAATAATCTACTATTATATGCATATTCAGTATTAAACTATTTATAATTAAATTACATTTCTCGATTGTCGATTCATAAATCAGTGGGCCAAAACAAAGATTGGAAAACTTAAATGAAAATTATAGGGACGGCAGCAATTCTAGGTGCATTAAGTCTTCATTGTATCTCGGCAATGGCACTAATGCGACCACCGTCAAACTGGAAGGCGAAATTTCGAAATAAAAAGTCGATTAAAGATAACGAGCAGTTGGATCAGACAAAAAAGCTATTAGTACCTGAAAATTCCCAGCCAGGACCACGTGAAATTAAAGTTCTTAAGAGGGGCGAAAAATGGAACAGCTGTAGAAGTTTACAAGATGATGATAGGAATAAAAATCTAGATCTGGTAATTATTATCTTTTGTATATGAATATTATGAATATTTATAGGTGAGGTGTATATTAAAATATATTTTCACAAATGTTTATTCCTTACATTTTTAAATATAGCCAATAAGAACCTGTATTTTTACTTTATTATCATAGCAATAAATTTTAACAGAATATGACTGTTTTATTTGGAAATTACATTAAAATAAAATTTATGCTTTAAAGCAGCTCAAATTATAATTTTTTTACTTATCTGAAAAATTCTAATATTGCAGCAATTCAAGTTACTTTATAATCAAATTTTCCGAGACATTATTTATTTTCAATTTATCATACACTTGAAGTAGGCCCCATTTTACCGTCTTATGAACATTATTATTGTAACATTTAATTAGTGCAAGCATATTTGCTTGTAATGTCTGAAAAATGTCTTTTCTAAATAACAAATAAAAATAATACAAAAATTTATAATTACATGTCGTCAAGATGTATATCAACTTGCATAACATCTACATTGACATATATCGATATACATACAAACTTTGATTTTTTTTTTTTTTTATCATTAATGTTTCATTTTTAATTGACAGAATTCAAATTTATCAATACAGCTGCATTATTAATTAAAAATTACATAATTAAGCGGAAAACTATTAAGCGATAGCACTTATAAAACATCCATTATAAAATATATAGAATCAGGACTCTTTGACTTACATAATTATGTAAATGCAATAAAACATAACAAATTTCACTCGAAAGATGTTTCGCCGCTAATTTTTATAATTTCATTTTTTAAAAAACATATTTTCCTTCTGCTGAAAAAATTAAACATTTAATCAATAATGTCGATATATTTTATGCATATAAATATAAAATTTTACCGTCACCAAAAATCATCTTATTATAATTTAAAAATAAAATGTACAGAGTATATCGATATTATTATCGATAAATGTTAAAGCTTAAATAAAAGCATCTCGAAGCTTATTTTACAAAGAGAAGATAACGGGCGTTTATAATTCACGCTTCGATCGCCGTGAGAATAAAATCGTTAACGCTTAAAACACGTAGCTTACGAGTTTTGAAAATTCTTGAAAATTGATGCTATCTTTATTTCGTTATGAAAGCCATTTTCTTTAAAATCAACTTTAACCTTTTTTTTTCTCGAAATTTTTGATTAATCCTACTTTTGCGAATTAACGGCGAATTTTCAATACGATAGAATGCGCATTTTAAAATACATAGTTTCGACGACGATTGTCTTATGTAACAAAGACTTTAGAAATGCTGGAAAGCCTAGACGAGAACAAGCCCTACAAAAAAACCAATCAACTCGTATGTAAACAGAGCTCAAACATCCCCTTTGAAATTGTGAATTTTCAAAAGACGCCTGAAGTAAGGGTTGCTTCAGTTACGGATGTACAAAGTGGTGTTTACCGGGGGCGCAGCAAGTCGCTGTTGGTCAGCGGCTGGTCCGACTGGAGCAGATCGCGCAAAAATGTCCTCATGACAGGATTCACATCCTCGAGCCTGACGAATCTCCGCGTGCAGCCCGGCACCGAGACCCTTAACAACGCGGTTATGCAGTTGAGGCGCGCCCCCACCAATACCATAGCCGAGGTCGAACAGGACAGCGAGGCCGCTATGATCGAGGACATTAACCGGAAAACGCCGAGGGCCATCGGTTTAAGGTAAACAATGATCAACGGGGGAATCGAGAGTGATACCTAGGCTCTCGTATATCACACTCGAATCGTTCCACATTACTCGAATTCTTAACGGCATTGGCATCGTAGCTCTAGCTGCTCACGAGGAACGAATCATTATTATTATTATCCCCAGGCCCGGATTATGGACCCGCGGATAAAGTAATGTAGCGGCGGATCGCTCAAGTCCCCGCGCGAGTCAATAGGGCAACGATTTCATTTTCATTTTCAGGAATCGTCGCCTACTGGACAACCTCATTGATTTCTCCCTACTTAAGGACCGTCCCTTCCTCAACATGTGCTTGGGCATTAGCTTCGTATTCACGAGCGACTTCACCTTCGCTGCCTTCTTGCCGTTGATGATGACCAGTCGCGGTTTCACGAAGGCTGACGCTGCCCTCGCCATAACCGCCTCTGCGAGCGCCGAGCTCGTCTCGCGAATCTGTCTCGCCATATTCACGATATTCGTCGACGCCAGACCCAAGATGATCTTCTTTGTCGCCATGATCGGCATGACTCTCGCTAAGCTCGGTACGTTGTTCGACTTATATATAAAATTAATTGATTCCACGGTCGTTTGTTGCCGTTAGTGCACGCGATAGCGATTGTTTGCCCGATGATTAGCTAATTGACAGGACCCGATGTGCGTCCAATGTATTTGCATATTTGTCTTATTCACGTTTCGATTGCACGCCGAACGTACTTATTTGTCATTTAAAGAATTTCAAGCTTCGAAAATATTCCAAACGTTAAAATTTACATACGCGAATTATCTTATCGTCGTGCATGTTATAATCGACCTTTATCGCCATCCACAATTTGTATAATTACATAACTTATTTTCATTGGAATATTGTTACGAGGAATACATTATCGTCACATAACTATACAAAATTTGATAAAATAATTATTTAACTGTACGTTATGAATTCGTGTCTTATCTCATCAATATACATAATATGCTACATAATAGTATGATTAATTGTTTTAATGCACTCTCACGATGGATTATTTTTACGATACAACATTTACCAATTTAAATGTAATGTACAAGAATAAAATTATAGATTATAGATGGAAAAAATATTTACAAACATCGTTCTAGTCAAATAACATTACCCACACTCACACCCACGCGCACACACGCGGATGTATATATATATATATATTATATATATATATATATAGAGAGAGAGAGAGAGAGTATAGAAATTCTTTTATATCTTTAAAATTTGACACTAATGATAAGAATTCGATCAGCTAAAATCGCATCGTATAAATCCATAGATAATTATAATATTATAAAAGATTTCGTCTTAAAGTTATGTTAGAATGAAATTCATAAAAGTAAATGGAATGTTCAAGAGAATGTGAATTGAAATTTAAATTATTAGAATATCGCCGATAATGAAAATGACAATTGCACAAATACATGGATGCTCTTTCTTCGAGCGATATTAAGCTGGTAAATTATAAGTGATCGCTAAACGAGGTTCGCTCGTGCAATTAAACCCCAGACTGCACCTCTTTCATAATGATCCCTTTCTATCTCTCTCTCTCTCTCTCTCTCTCTCTCTCTCTCTCTCTATCACTATCTTTCATACACTAACTGACTATCGCAAGCAAGACGGCCGGCCAACCGTCGCGCTTGTCCGCGCCCTTTCTCATCCGACCTTCGTCATCTTACAACCCCATTTGCGAGCAGGCTACCTCTACCTCGAGGACACGCTCACGGGCACGATGATAATGGTGGCGGCGATCGGGGCGGCGCGCTCTTGGCTCCTCGTGCCCCAACCACTTGTTGTCGTGGAGAACGTCAGTGTCGATCAGTTTGCCGCCGCATACGGCGTTTACGCAGTCGTCAGTGGCATCATCTCCGTGTTGTTCGGGCCGTTCGCCGGTAAGTATGCATCACTGCTGCGAGACTAGGAGTCGTGGAGGGTAGGTTGAGTCGCGAGTGCCTTTGGTGCTTTCTCTTCTGTCACGCTCGTAATTTCAGAGGGAGCGGGAAAGAAATTGGAATTTGATTTGGACAAAAGATTCCCATTCGGGTTCGAATGCTCTCTCTTTCTCTCTCTCTCTCTTTTTCTATCTCTCTCTCTCTCTCTCTCTCTCTCTCTCTCTATCTTTCTCTCTATCTGATTAATCGTTTAGGGGGTAGTTTTCATTTTAACGGGGTAAGGGACATCGAACGATAAAAAAATCGAATGGAAAATCGAAGAAAGTCGAGCTGTTTCTGTAATCTTAAAAGCTTGTTTTGTTTTGGTAAGCTTCGGGATTATTTTGAATAAATTGTATTAACGTTTAATGCCTTGTTTGTGCCCATATCGGCCATCGATATTTGCGAAATTCCATTGCAGATATATCTCAAATATAATAAAAATCCACGATTATATGCAGCTTAACTGGAATGGATAATGTTACTTTTCATAAAATATATTCGTAGATTGATGTCTTTATAATGCAATGTTATTTATTTTAACTTGCAGTTTTTTTTTTCTTGTGTTTTTTTTTCTTTATCTCGCTAATTCTTTAAGCACAATCTCGATGATAATTGAATTTAATAAAATTTTCTTTCCAATAGGTCTTATAAAAGACTGGACCGACAGTTTTGTCGTCTGCCAAATTGTACTTTTAGTCATGAATGCTTTGTTTATTGTACCATGGGCCATGGAAATTATAATGACCAGTAAACAAACGAAAAGTGACGCGTAACGCGAATGAGCGAATCAGTGCGAAAGTGCAAGGAAGACTGCTGGACAAAATATAGAAGAATACCAAAAGTGAATTTGCTAAAATAGTTAAATTTACTCCGTTCGTTGACTTATCAATCCCGAATTTTAACAGATCTATACGTATTTGTATTTTATAGTGTAAAGTTTAAGCATAAATTTTAAATGGTGTGTAATTCATTCTTTAGTTGGCATAATTTTTTGGACTTTGACCGTTGCTAACTTATTACACTACTCTGTAATAAATGACATTTCATAAAACTTTCTTATAATTAATTCAATTTTTTATAAAATATTTGTAAAAAAATATTTGCAAATAAAATTGTTAAAATGTATAAGATGTAACGATATTTTTATTTAAATAACAATACTTAAGCTGTCATTAAATGTTTTGAGTAATTTCAATTTTGATCAATTTTTACTTTGAAAATTAAAAAATCCATACGAAGAGTCGGGTGATTACAACCCAAAGTTGTTAATTCCAAACTTATTTCTCGATATCAATGATCACTAACAAAGAATAAAAAAAAATTATTTCTTTTTATGATGTAAATGGAACGTGCACGATCCGTATTATTTAATATATTATGTCAATTATTATCATACAATAAACTATACAATATTACTCGATTTGCATTTTATGTATATTTTGATATACAGTTGGTGAATAACTGAAAACAATAGCGACAAATATTATTCTTTTGATATTTTAATAGTAATTAAGGAGACTCTAATTATACAAGCTTAAATGTAAATTTATAATGAAATATAATTAGAATTTACACAATCACAATTATAATATACGAATTTATATATATATATATATATATATATATATATATATATATATATATATTACAGAGCTATATTTACAGAGCAACATTACGAGATAATAATTTTGTTTCGTGGCTCAATTTTGATATTAAATCCATCAGATCTCTTTAAAATTATGTCCACTTGCAGCTTAAAATCTTTTTCCGTTAGATCTGAAAAAACCTGGTAGTTTCGCAAAAACGTCGATATTAAAACCTTCAGCTTCAGCATTGCATATTTACGACCAACGCAAGACCTTAACAGTAGAAAAATATATTGTTTTTAAACATTTTATTTACTTAATTGAAATGAAAAGATATTTTCCGCTATTTAAGTATACTCAATATATATATATATATACATATATATATGTATATATGCAGCAATGAAAACAATAAGTTAAGGTGACGAAATTTTGAAATAAAAATTAAAAATACATATTCAGACAGTAAATAAGAAAATAATATAAATAGGAAAATAATATATTTTAACATCATGCTTTCATGACATACAATAGATAAGAAAAAAATTAACGAACCTTGGACCTGCGCTGAATGGAATATAAGCATAATAATGCCTGTCTTGCATATTTTCTGGCAGGAAATTATCAGGATTAAAAACATCGGGATTCGCGTAATATTTTTCCTGTCTGTGAATTTTATACTGTGGTATAACAATGGTGGAACCTGACGGTACCACATAATTGCCAGACACTGAAAAGTAAATTCGAATGAACTAAGAAGCTTGTTCAAATAATTTAATAAAAAAGTTATTAAGTTTAAAAATGTTTTGAAATACAAAAAGAAAAAGAAAAGCTTAATAATGTTTAAAAAAAAAAAAAAAAAAAAAAAAAAAATTTTTTTCGAATTTATGCCAAAACTAATAATTACGCTAATGAATGCATGTAGTAATTAATCATCACAGCCCTTCTTACCCAATTGGACGTCATGTTTTAACTGTCTGGCGATGATTGGAACGGGTGGAAAGAGTCTTAAAGTTTCTAGGATAACCCTTTCGAGATATTTCATTTCGACGGTGTCTTGGAAAGTGCACGGCCTATCGGAACCTTGAAATATTTCATTTAACTCTTCCATTACTCGAACCTAAAAAAAAATGCAATTTGTTAGAACATTGTGAATGGAAATTTTATTAAATTCGAATTTCAAATAGAAATAAATAACTAATTATATAAAATATAATACACAATATGTAAGACTTTTTTAATATTACATTCTATATGAATTTTAGCATATTTTTCATATTCCTTAAATGATAAATATGTGAACGGGAATAGACGGATGTAAACAAAAATAAACAGCTCAAATTTTTTTAAAATTAGACAAACGATAATTTGGGCAAATGTAGACAAATGAATAGTAATTACTACCTGTATATCCTGATGAATTCCTAGTAATGAAAGTACAAAACTTGAACCAGCTGCCGTTGTATCATGTCCCTAAGACATAAAAATTGTTAATTTCATTTCCAAAATAATTAATGAATCTTAACCTATAATCCAAAAAGTTTTTAATAACCTCGAACATAATGGTATCGACTTCTTCCTTAATTTCTTCATCAGTCAAATGCTCGCCATTTCTCTTCATTTCCAACATTAAATCCAAAAAGGCGAGTCTTTTTTTCTCTCCTGAATAAACATATGCTTTTTTTTAATTAATTTAAAATCCTAAATCATGTGGAATTTAATATGATTTTTGCTTATATCTTGTACTATTTGAATGTAAAACTGAAGCCACTAATTTGTAAACAAATACAATAAAATAGTGACAATTTCTAAAAATAAATAGAATTTTAGTATTAATTTAACAATAACGGAATATTTAGAGTAACGATTATGAGATGTTAATGTATTTTAATCATTATTTATTAATAATCAATATGTGGCAATAAATTAATTCGTATCAATTTCTAAATTCAATATGAAAATGGGAGAACAATTTTATATTACGATTGTAAACAATTTTTCACTAATTTTTATATTCGTTGTGTTAATTAAAATTAAACTTTTATTGACATGTAACTTAAAACTTAACGATAAATTAAAATAACCTAATTATTTGAAATGCAACCAGAATAAAACTCTAACAAAAAATATTATCATTTTTACATAGAATAAGATTCTTTGATTTTTGATAATATATAACTACTATATTCTGTTAACAATGAAATATAATTCATGGGAATAAATTATCAAATAAATGGAAATTTCAATAAATTTTTTAATAAATTTAACAAAATGATATGACTGACTGGTCGTTGGTTGATCTGTATGAAGTTATTGAACTCGCACATTTTGCTTGTCATAAATCTATTCTTAAACATTCACCTCGGAATTCTGTAATTATTTTTTTTTAATGCTCTGGTTACAACTACGGTTTAGTTATTTTTAAATATGATTCATAAATGTGATTTGTAGCATATTTCGAGAAGAGGTGCAACAGTTCTTTTTAAAAAATTTTATAAAAACTATAAAAAATATTCTTTGACTTATTATTTCAATAATTGAATATTACTATAATTTTTATAGTCAATTCTTTGTACAAGATTTTTACATGTAGGATAATTTACAAAAAAATAAAAAAAGTTTACGTACTAGATTTTAAATAAATAATTTATTATTATGATGTATTATTTGATTTTAGTTTAATTAAATCTTAATTAAATTTTCATTAATTATTTTACGTATTATTTTATTTAATATTCCATAAAATGATAAATATAATTAATATTTTATACTAATGACAATATTTATTTTAACAATTAACTATGTTTTTACACAGAGGTAACGAAGCTCCTCATTAAATAATTAATTTACTCTCAAAAAGTACCATCAGTCAATTCAACTACTTATAGACAAATATTAAAATATATTAACAAACTAATGATAAAAATTGTATCAATGATTTAACAACATTCTTGAATGACTATTCAACAAAAACTTATTAGATTATGAAATTAAAAAAAAAGAACTATTCTATAGTTGATTTAATAAAGTAATTGTTATAAAAATTCCAGTCTAAATAATTCGACAGAAATTTCATCAAATTCTACCAAGTAGTTGAAATTATTAAGTTTCTATTGTTACCTTTACAAATAAAGACCAACTTTACAACATTTTTTGTATTAAACATTTTGTACATTCATTATGTTATTAAAACAGAAAAAAAATTCATTATTAAACAATTGTTGTGATATTTTATGAAATTTCTAAATATCTAAATAGCATGTATCTTATAATATGGATTAATAAACAAATATATACATAAAATATATTTAAAATATAGTATTTTTTATTTTTTTTTTATTTTTTAATTAAATATGAATATTGCTTCAAAATTATAAATAGGCATTATTGATAAAATTCTGAATTATTTATCCAATAGAAATAAGGATTAGCATTTTCTTAAATCAGTGAAACCTTAATAATTACTCTTTTAATGAACCTTTAGCAAATAAATAATAATCGAGCGCTATTTTGAAAATAATTATAATAGACTTTTTTAGGCTCACCAACGTCATTATCATCGATTTCATCGAGATCATCCCTAACGTATCGAATCTTCTGCTCCTTGGGTTCCGTTACTGCCGTCATGATCTTTTTAGTTTTTGTCTCCTGCAACCTCGTGTCTGTTGCCTCCCCATTCTCCTTCACCTCCTCTTTGCGCTTTTTGATGATGCGCTTCGTGAGTCCGTGAATGATGTCGAGATACTTTTGCTGCTCCTTAGCGTACGAACTAAATTGAAAAAGAGCATCGAGTCGCAATAGTAGATTGTAATGCCTCTGATGTATGATGTTGCACATGCTACAAAGAGTAAATAAACGCACTTCTATTATTAAAATATTATATTCGTGATAGAAGGTAAATAAATATTCATTATGTTTCAATTACTTCCGAAACTACATAAATATTTTACCTCGTCAAATTTTGAAACATTAACATTTGTAAATAATACTTTTTGAAATAAACGAAATGCACCGTTTGGAAATTATTTCAACTATAATTATCACGTTATGTAATGGCTATTTGAATTAAATGCCTATTGTTTTATATTTATAATAAATATAAAGCTAACGTTGATTTATCAAAATATGAATAAAACTTCAGTTTTATTGTTTTCAATAACAATTTCAATAACAATTCAATAACAATGAAAACAGAGTTTTCAATACTGCCAATTAATATGTTTTCTAATAAAAAATTGACCAACTATACTTAAAGGAAATTATTGATTAATTAAGATTGTATGAAACAGGCTGGTGAACAGATCATTTTTTTCTATTGAAAATAAAATTACTTCTGTTAAATTTTACTTAAATACTAACAAATAAATAGTGATATTTAACGAGTCATTAAGAAAATAATACTAGATAAAGAAAAATGGAAAGCTTCTTGTATAATTATAAAGTTGCTTATTATTATTCGTAAAATACCTTTATATAAATATATATATCGTTTAAATTTATCAGTTGCTTTTCACGAGAGAAAAGTAATTGTAATCTTTAAGATAGCTCGATGTAATATGAAAATAGTAAAACATTATCAAAATTTCGTATTGCAACGAGTAAATAAAAATATTCTCTTAGTAAGCTTAATATATATCTAATTTTTAATCGACTACAATTGAATTTATAATGTAAAATATACACGTCATCGGCAACGTAACTCAGTCTTTATTATCGATGGATACTACGTACTCCATAACAGCGGATGCATATTCAAAGCTGCTCTTCTCCTTGGAAGTTCCTCTCACACCCATAGCTGTTTCCATAAGGATGTCGACGGTCACAGTGGACATATAATCGTGACAATCGAAGTCTCTTCCAACGTTATTCTTAAGCTTTTGCACGAGATCGATACTGTTCTCGTAAAAGAGCGGTACAAAGGACTTGAGGACACTGAGATGAAAAGTTGGCGCTATGAGCTTCCGGTGAATGCGCCACTTGTCGCCTGTGCTTATCAAAAGGCCCTCGCCCAACCATGGTGCAAAGAACCTTAATTCGTAATTAAGAGTTAAAATTCCTTAATGCAGTAGTACGGTAGCAACTTATTCTCTTTCTAATAATGCAATAATCAATTGTTTTGCAAATTTATGCTTACAGAGAGAAATAATTTGTCAACTGAATCTAAAGCGGACAATAGTAATATCATTGAATTACTTTACCTGCATTACATAAATTGATTTTATTTTAATATTCGTTTTTTAACGTTAAGATATTTTAACAAATGCGTGTAATGCGATACAATTTGCTTATTAAGTAATTTAACATTATAAATTTAAGCGCAATTTTCGTCAAACAAATTTCATTATTAGCATTTAAATAACGGAAAGACTTTATTTTATAAATCAGTATTTGATATTACGATATAAATAGATTTTTCTAGTTTTAACGAATTCTTTAATAAATTGATATATGTATATATATATGTATATATGTTTCGCATGCGCTCGAATAATTTTCTATTAATTAATAAGCGATTCACGCATTACAATGAAAGTTATGAAGATTATTGATTAAGATAATACTATAATAGATATTAAATTGTAAATAGATAAAAAAAATGAGCAATTTTTTTTTCCTTTCGTCGATTTCAATAATTGATATACAAAGAGCTAGTGAATAAGTAGTTGTACATTTCAAAAATATTAAAATACATATAATAATAATCCATTTAATACATCTATTTATTGGAAAATAAAAATTCACAATTTTTTCGTTACAATTTAAGTTATTTGTATATTCTTGCAAAATTATTATCATTAAGAACCTTACCATTCTAAGCCTGATAATGACATATTATATTATATAATATAAACATATTTCTTATATAAAAAGTAATATCTATTAACTGCATCTGTGAGTTTCTTTAAAAAGATTAATTTGTATTTTGAGCTTAAAAGACTTGCCTGTATTCGGGAGATTTATCAATATGCACTGGACTACTAAGAATAATTTCAACATCGCGTGCGTCTGAAAGGAAAACTATTAATTTAGGGCCGAAAAATACCCTCATCACATCTCCGTAAATGTCGTATTTCAGAGCTTCCGTTAGGGCGTCTTTAGGATCCACTCCAACAGCGAGAATGGCATTTCCGAAAAACGGAACAGTTTTCGGGCCTCAAATTAAAATATATTAATCATCAGTTCCCAAGCATATGTATTCAGTCATTGGAAGTATAGTTTTAATTAAAATCTAGCACAATATACGATGTCGAACGAAAAACTTTACTTCCTTACAATTATTGATAAAAATTTACAATTCAACATTTAACTCAAAGGCGGACGTTCTTAACAAAATTTATATTAATTCTTTTTTCTTGTTCTTTTTCATTTTTGTTGGATTTTACTGTTATTACACACAAATGCCTGAATTTTACTATTACATATAAATAATGTTTAACATATCAATATCGTTGGCTCACCTGGAAGTTTATTACCCATCTTGACGATTCGTGAGGTCTCTATGAAATAATGAGCAACAGCGAGTACCGTTGCAATTGTAATGAGAGACCAAAAAACTACCGGAGACAAATAGCCAAATGTATTTATGGGTACCGCTTCCATTTTTACCTCTACCAAAATAATCATTAATCATATTAATCATATTTCCACTATAATACGTGACTATTTTTATATTTAATTTATCATCCGAATAATGTTACATGAATATAGGGCATTAATTTGGCAACTTATTTTGATAATGACGATTAAGACTATTATTCAGTCGCTTAAAAATTACAGCTCTTCTTGCAAGATTTTTCTTTATGAGTAACGTAGTATTGTAATAATATTTATTTTTGTAAATGTTATAAGTTGAAAAAATAGTTATCTCTTTGAATATAATTTCTATAAATGACACAATAAAATGGTAAAGAGAATTTTTTTTTTTAAAGATTAAATGCCGAAGAACTTGTAAATAAAATAAATGACTTTTGCAATCAATTACAATTTTCATATAAAAACTTCGTAAATAATGTAAAAGGAATGGTTGTTTATTTAAGCAGTTTCATTGGCTTCGAGAGGAACAAGAGAATCTTATTTAAATATCCATTTGAGAGGTAAATTCCATGCCATTCAATATTCTTTGCCCTTACGTACCCCCGTAATAATGTCTAATTAATGAAATCTCACTGTAGCTGTCACTCGTGCACTTTGTAAAACAAGAAAATTGTGATAAACGACGCCGATGCCACTACACGCACTGCCGTTTACAATCGACGTTTCCGAAAGACGAACAACCACACACTTGTGACTGAGGTTCCGAGCGCGGAAGTTGCTCGGTCTTATAACAGGTGAAAATCCGAGGAAATATCACATGTCTGGGCCGTGACCTTAGCTTATGCATTCGATAATTTGCATAGTAAATTTTTGCATGCGTGTATGTAGGAAAGAAAAACGTAAATACGCCAGTCCTTCACTCCAGCAAAATTTTATTCATTAGAAACGAAAAGTTGGTGCTGCTTTCACTAGCGTTTTAACGATGTGTTAATTTTTATATGAATTGTAAAAAAAAAAAAAAAAAAAAAAAAAAAAAAAAGAGATCTTATTGCGACGATAATCATAATAGGAATACAATTTTAGTTCCAGATTATCGAAAAATATTCAATATTCCATGAAAATAAGACTATGACGATCGATATCCTAGTCGATCGTGTCTATTCTAAATAAATGTAGTTAACGCGCATTCGTGAAAATCAATTAAATTATCATATATAATGAATATCCTTAATTATTCTTAAGGATATCTTGATGATTTTGAAAAAACAATAAATAAAAAAAGTTGTTAAAATATTTAGCACAACTTTTTGTATTTTACTAAAATTTTTACATTTACAATATTTAAATAATCTACACAAACCAAAAAAAAAAATAGCATATAAATTAAATCTATTTTCTTTTAATTTACGAATCAAAAGAAGTAAAAAATGACTTTTGTCTTTTACGGGGTGGAGTTTGAATAGATTAATTTATTTAAAAGAAAAATAAGACGCCCCTTTAATAACGTGGAATCATTACATTAAATATATAAATTTTGAAAATATATATTAATGCAAATACATATAATATGCAATAATTATTCGGAAATTATCAAAAATGTGAAAACAAATGGTTATAAAATTCTGAAAAAAATTAGAAAAATTGCAAGATCAAAATCAATTTAACCTTATGTACCAATATTGTAAATTTATTAGAAATAAAAGAAATAAGTTATATAATTTATAATATGTAAGTAAAATATTTATACTTAAAAATAATTATACTTCAAAATAAAAATAGTCACATATTAAGTTTAAAAATATATTTAGAAATATAGTATTATTAGGTATTGTGTAATCTTAGAGATTGTCAATCGAATGAAAAGAATCGACGATGCTTTCATATATTTTTGCTCTTCTCAGGTCTTTCAAATGTTACAAAATCCATAATGGTTTGTAATCCCTCGTGACATTGTATTGAAGCAGACACCGTGGTTTTTTTTTTTTTTTTTTTTTTTTTTTTTGTTAGAAATTTGATAGCATATTTTGAACGTATAGTTCCAACTGAATGGGCAAACTTAAATTTCTTTGCCATTTCTTTCCATCATTCATGAAATCCCAAAGATACAATTGATCATAAAACCCATTCATTAGCGCATGTCCAAATGCGTTTTACTCCTTATAATTATATAAATTTGTATTTGAGATTTCACCAAAATTATTCTTTTTACTCAAAATTTATAACAAGATATTTTGAAGTTGCGATATTTATAGTTTAATTGACTATGAGCTAGAAAAAATTGTGATATAATTTTATAAATTTCGCTAAAATATTTATATAGATATATGATAAATTTATCTTATTTTTATAAATATTGCGTACTACGTTCTACATCGAATTCTTCATTTTTTTTTTTTTTTTTTTTTTTTTTTTTTTTTTTTTCTTTAGAATTATATAATGCATTCGATAACACATCCTGGAAATCAATTACCATGAACTCAGGATAATATTATAAATAAAAGGCTTTTATACAATTAATCGCATACTTGGGTTACTCATGCTGACTTTGATTTTGCGCACAATGAAACTTATGCTAATTTATTATTCAAAAACTTAAATACTTCGATACCGATATATACAATGAGTAGTTGAGAACAAATTTGTTATTCTACATGAGAGAGTTGATCGGTTCCGGTTACATATCAGTGCACCAAATACAAGTGAAACAAGAACCTTTGTTTATCTAAATATTGCCAGAAAGCGCCCATAGACTGTAAATCTAATAATTAAATAAAGGTACAACGAAATTTATAATTTAATGATCAATAATTTTTAAATTATTACATCGTTTTCATTACAATTATAATTTTACTCGACAAAGTTATACTTTTATGTTATTTTTATTTAAGCGACCAATTATTAAAATATAGTACTAAAATTCATAAACTATAATTATTGCTCTATATTACTTATCGTAATTTCGGTTTAAAAAAACTATTTTATTATTATTATTTTTTTTTTTTTAACAATAATGATGAAGCACATTGTACAATCGATATCACAGACTAAGATCAATGATTGGATCATAATAAGTACGATTAAAACTTAATATTCTAACAAATAATTTTTTTTTCATATATTTAATACTTTACGTAGTTGAATATTATAATAAATATGTAAGATAATAGTATGAAAATATAGTTATATTTAAATAATGAATTTCTACTTTGACTGATTTGTGTATATATTTGTGTATATACGTTCATTTATAATACAATATGAAGTAAATTTGATATAGTTAATATTAATATTAAAATACCATAATATTTCGATTAATAGCAACATAAAATATGCAGGGAATTGAATAATTGAGAAATTTAAGGATCGAATAACCTTTATTTACATATTTAATATTCTTACAGACTGATAATATTTTACGTAAAAGAAGTAGAAAGAATTACATCATTTGTACAAATTTCTGAATGATTTTTAAACATAACGGCCGTTTTAAAAAATGGTAAGCAAGGGACAAAGAACTTTCTGTGTATTCGAAATAACTTTGTCCTTGATTCATTCTTCACGTCAAGCACTAATTTAAAGTATGTTTCATGTTTAATTCGTCGCTGTTGGATTAAATACTAAGCATCGCGACCATAAAATGAATACCCGATTAAAAGTAATGAATCATTCGTATTTTTATTGGCTTAAAACAAAAATTTGAAAAATTATACATTTACCGTCGTTTAAAACATTTATAGTCCACCTAAAAGACAAAAATATTTGCATATTAATTTGACGTCATAATTAGGTGAAATGAATTTTAAATTGCGTATTTATAATACACCAGCCAAATAAAAATAGAAAAAATTAACTCAATTTTTACATTTAGAATTTGTGATTTTTTTATTAATAAAATTGAAAATCAATAAAATAATCCGAATTATTAATTGATATTATTAAGACGATAAAAATTAAAAATATATAATAAAATATGCAATATTTGTGAAAATATAAATAGTGTAATATTAATATTAAATATCATGTTATTACTATTGCATTCGCATATATATTAGAATATTATTATTAGAATATTCTAAAGGAATTTAAAATAATGCGCTTCCAAAGTCATTAATATTACAAAATCTGAATAAAAATTGTATAATAATGTATAAATTACTTACTTAAAAATATTATTATTAATGATAGTAGTGGTAATAGTAGTAGTAGTAGTAGTAGTAGTAGTGTTAGTAGTAGCAGTAATAGTAGTAGTAAAGGTATCCAGAATTAATGGTGCACTTTAAAGAGAGAGAAAAAAATCGATGAACCAATTTTATTCAGTGAGCATTGCTAAGCATCCAACAGATTTTCTTTCGCCAGACTCTGTCCAGACTTCTCCCACTTTTATACATTTCACGATGTAAAAAAAAAAATCAATACACTCCTAACGTAATAGGGAATAAAAACTGCTTATTAAAATTGTCATAAAATTAAGATTATGATTAATCTTAATTCTGTATTTTCTTATTCGACAATCCATTATGCTTGCCTATTGAATTTGATTCGTACGACTTAATCACGTTTAAACATACCGTTCCTCGATTATTTTATTATTTTCTGTTCAATCAGCAAATTGTAAATATTAGCAAACAAAGTGAAAAGTGTGAGAAGACAATGAAACGTTTGATCTTAAAAAATACATACGAAAAAAAAGCATCAAATATAAGTTAAAAATAAATTTATTCGCATATATGCGTTATGGAACTCTGAAAAGTATTAATAATTCTTATATAAATGTATTGCCATAATTTCCACAATTTCTGTTTGCAATTGAAGTTAATAAATTATTAATAAATTAGTTATTTATAAATCTTCCTTTCTTAAACTTTAAATGTAATTGTTTTCTGATGAGCAATGTTTGGTAATTATACCGTATTCTGTCTGACATTTTGACCTGCAACGCTAATTTCCATAAAGAAAACAGTTTTTATTAATTTTCATTGTTGTTTCATTATCTCTATTATTCCACTGTATACCATTAAGACATTTAACATATCGCATCATAATTATACGAAAATATGAATAAGCTTTTAAATTAATTTATCTTAGAATTATACGAATTTTTAAATTCATATTAATTTAAAAATTTATTCCTGCCATTGGTAGAAATGACATGTATATTATAATTTATATTAATTAAGCATTGAAAACTATTATGTGATTAAAAATTAAAGAATAATAAATTTTCTCACTTTATTAATGATTAAAATATAGCTCAAAACAAGGTTTTGTATACAATTACAATATTCTAAAATATATATTTATATATATATAAATTTTTTTTTTTTTTTTTTGCCAACATTAAATAGACGATCGATAACCTATCAGCCACCAACATTAATAAAGTCTCGGAATCGATGTTAATATCACTGTATATCACATCCAAACCATCGAGCGTAAATTTTATGCGTATAACGTCGCAACAACAGCATATTCGTTCGTTTAACGTGCCTTAACGGACAAAATACGCTCCAGAGGAAGAAATGCAGTCGATTATTTCTACCCAATTAGACATAAAAAACAAAACAAACTAAAAAACGTACTTGGGGGTCCGCCGTCGTAAATTAATGTAATATGCGTGGGAGAAGAGCGGCAAGGAGGGCGGCGGAAAACGGCCAGAATAACCCCGCGCACGTCCGGCGGAAGTGACGTAGTGGAATACGCGCATGTTTCGCGCCCCCCTGGAGAGTAAAAGAGCGAGAGAGAGAGAGAGAGAGAGAGAGAGAGAGAGAGAGAGTTGAGGACTCTCATATCGCCGGAAATCGGGGCACCCCTTAAGGGGGCAAAAAGCTGTAGACAGGACTCTGACAATTAACATGTGCGGGGGAGAAAGCGAAATGAGAAGCTCACCTGTGCGCGTTCAACCAGCTTGATTTTGTAATTGGCATTACTCTGTAAGTGCAGCGGAGGGTCGAGTTTGCACTTAAGCTGACACCTACCGAGTCCTGGATGTTTGAATTTGTTTATCGCTCGACTCGTGCATCTCAATTTTAGCGGTTGATGCATTGTTTCGAAAACCATACGAACGTATGGTTGCCATTAAAAATTTATCTTTTCGATTACTTGCGATGATTATTAGATAAATTTTAAACAATTTTAATGTCCCGCTCTATATTACAATTGTGATAATAATAATCCAGAATTTATAATTATGAGCGCTCTTACAATTATTTCGATGCAAAATCGTTATGTATTGTATTCAGCAATTAAAGTGACACATGCATCAGCTTCTAACTGCTTAGTTGACATGCTAATTTATTAAAATATATCGTGAGCCAGAATATAAATGATTATAGAACTGAAGTTATTTAATATTCGTAGTAATTATTTGGAAAGTCTTTATACTTAATGTATACAATTTGCATACCAAAGTTGATAGTAAAATGCTGGAATTGTAAAAATAGACTGCAATAGTTTGGCCGTAAATTATTTATTCTAATTTGGATTATTAAACATGAATTTATCTTCTCATAATAATATAATTAATGTTACTTTCTACTTTAATTAATTTAAATATCTATTTTACGTTCCAGTCAAATTCTAAGAATGGGTTATATCATCAGGCCTATTGCAAAAATTAAAATTATCATTAACATCCACTTTCATGATATTCCATTGAAAATAATATTTCTTTTCAAAAGATATAATATCTATTCTGATTTGAAATTTAAATCGTCTACGCACTAACATTGTGTAAATATATACATTTACAATAAATAGATATTGACTAATGAAATTGACAATGTAAAAAATTACAGAAGCCTTATCCTGTAATTAAAGATAAGTTATATAATTCAACATTTTATAGAATGTGTATTTAAATTATTTCAATCCATTCGCTTATGCTGCCAATACTTTCATTGTATTGATTATTCAGAAATACTAAATCATCATTATTCATACCCTCATAATTATAAACAGAAATTTCAATATTCAATAAAATACAATAATATTTATCATGCGAACATATTATTAATAACATATCATATTATTGGCGTTATTTTTTCCCGTTTTTAATCATTAATCATCGGCACTAATTATTAATTTTGATTATTTAAACTGAAAGAATTTAGAAAGCCACTATAGAGATGACTGTTAAATATCTATACGTAAGGCATGAATGTGAATATTAAATAACAAAATAGAAGCGATGAAAATTAAAAGAAAATAGAATATTGTGTTTTGAAATTTTTCGCTTATATAATTGAATTGACACGCTAATAGGAAGTAAATTATTATTAATAAGTTAATAAAGTGTATTTTATTAAAAGAAGAAAAAAAAAAAAAAGAAAAAATCCATATTTTATGTAATACTGTAACAAATTTAATTGCCACTTTCCTTTAATATGGAAATAACTTTTAAATGATGGAATATTAAAACATACAATAAGTTACACATAATTATGCCCTTTATAATATAAAACTTGACGTATATTTTTAAATTATTTATTCAAGAAATTTATTTCAATATTTTACTAATTTTTTCACTAAAATTTTTACAAAGTATGATGATTTATCTAGACTTTTATACTTTTCTTATTTAATTTTTAAAGATAGTCTTACATATGTAAAATGTATATAGATATTTTTAATAAAATGATGAAATGTTATATGAGTATTGTAAATAAAATATGATTTCATCTAATTTTACAAGTTATATAAATATATAATTTGATAAATACAGGCAATAAAGTACCAAGCAGTGACAAGTAATACATGAAAATTAATAGAACGTGTACCAATAAAATAATAAACGATTTGATAATGTAAGTGAATTTTAAAATATATTTATCAATATTGATGAAAAAAAAATAAAAAACTTTTTCAAAATATATATATATATGCTTGATTCATTTTAGTTCGATGACAAAAGCTCACATATTTCCAGTATTTTACTACTATTAATCAAGACTTGCTTTTACGAATTTTCTAATTCTGATGTGCTTATTGCTATATTTTAAAAATAATTTTAATATAGTGAATTAATGTGAGAATTAAATGCGGGAAGGATGTACTACTATATATAATGAAAACACTTATGAATTATAAATATGTGTAAATTTATTTTAAATACATTTGGCGTATAAAATATAAAATAGTAAAATATTTTATTACAAAACTTATCGTCAATTCCTCAAAGGCACTATTATAATACAAGTTCTATACTAAAATGAGATAATTCTTGGAAAGCGCCCATCAATTATTGTTGATCAATAAACGTGTAAACGTTGTCGCTGTAAAATTGCTAAATTCATATAAAAATACGCGTTTTTATTATCTATTCAATTATATATTTATTTAGCTTAAGACATTCTTAAGTTTCCGCTAATAAACGAGCAGAAATCTAAACTATTTTATTGCTCGTTAAATTTTTATTTTGAGAAATTTGATCTTAATCCTGCAACTGTCAATTACAAAATTGATGTATCACTCGTACGTTATGAAAGGACTTATTAATAATATTTACAAAATGTACTATTTAATGTTCATGTGTTTTGTGTTGTTTTTTTTTTTTTTTTTTTTTTTTTTTTTTTTTTTTTTTTTTTTTAAATAAGACTAGTCTATTAACAAATTAATTTATGTTAGATCATAATATAAAGTACATTCAAATTAATTGTCCAAAATTGAAATTTTTTATTAAATATCGTAATTGTCAAATATCTTAGATAATTAAAAGGTATATATATATATATATATATAACAAATTTTATTAGATCCAGTATTTAAAAAATAAAAAAAAAATAACCGATACAGCATTGTTATTTCATTTAAAAAATAAATTGTAATTTGCAGCATTTCTTTTCGTTTATAATTATTTAAATATAAATTAAAATGAGTAAATATTTTGATACTTTCAATTTTGTTTACAGTCGGAACATCTTTATAATGCTACTGTAATTTATAAACGCACTATCGTAGGAAAATAATGTATAATTGAATTTATGGAAAATAAAAGTAAGGATGAGAAAGCTGATCGATACTTTTAATTTCAAATCCATTCTATCTCCATTCGCGGATATGTAATACTTCCTTTTTATTAATAATGTCGTGAAAATATTTGTTATTAGATGACGAATGTAGGGTGAAAATAAGTACAAGGTAACTTAATTAAGGGAGTGGAATATGCCGATTCATCTAGTCTATTCATACGCTGGCCTAAGCTGATCAATAAAATTTAGTCTTGAGAAAATTAATTAAAATTACAATATCACTATACAAATTCATAAATGAATAATAAAAAGAATGATCCTAATGCTACATAATGATAAATATACATCATGCTAATAGTAAGTAATAATTTAATAAACACTAGGGATTTTTTGATGACTGTTTAAGGCACATACAAATAATGTTTACGTTTATACAAATAAATTTTGTCCTCGTTAAGTATAACTCGTGTCCGCATATACACAATATTAACCGTTACAACATCACTTGGTATTGTTATTGTACCCTTTCTCTTGTTCCTTCTCGTTGACGACAGAGATCGCGTGCATCACGGCGTCCGAGAAAGACAACGAATATATCCCACGCATAAAACGAACTATATAATAAATGCAGAAATACACAACCACTTGATTCGCTCACTCGCCCGTTCCTTTGGTCCCTTGATCCTCGTTCTCTTGTACTTTCCCACCAGTTTCAACCCTTCGGCCCTCGTCGCCGACACTTTGGCCGTAATTCCATTTGCTCGGCTCGACGCAGGAGAAAAACATTTTGTCAACATCTTATCTTGTGGCATATCGGAGGATAACAGACGACACCATTGAATTTCTTGTTGGCCAGTTGTTGATCGTACTGTAACGATAAGGGACATATTAGTTTATTCACCTTTTTTTTTTCTTTTTCATTCCTTGCTTGTATTAGGGAAATAATAATACACAATGCGAACGATTGGACAATATAATAATGTAATTCATCGATCGTTGCGAGACTAATAAATTAGTGGACGGAATCTTATTGAAATGCTCTTTATTTATTGTTCGTTTGGACGATATAAAATTTATATAAAAATACTAAACAAACGATCGTTAGGACATTTACAATAATATAATAATGTACTATAAAATAATAGAAAATAAAGTATAAAATAATAAAGTATAATTTATCGGTTAAAAATTTAAAAATTTAAATTACTTAATGGTAATGTGCTAAAGTAGGAAACTATACATTTCAATGTATAATTGCAATGCCGTGTTTATTTAAACATGTTTTATTGTAAATTATATTGTTCTATATCATCATGCTTTCTCATTCGCCAATGATCCAATAATTTAAAAATAATGCAATTGTAAATAAATTTTTACAAATTTTTTTCTTAAATACACATCCCTGGTTTCACGTAAATATGTAAGACATTGAATTTTCAATAATTCATAGTCCGTTAGTAAAAACGTGATAATTAAACAAAAAATACAATGATAAATATAATTAAATGTATGACAACGAATAATGGAAGTAACGTACAAGAACTACAATTCATACGGAAACACACGATTTCCGTTCGTAACGTTCTCATTGAACATCAATTTCAAAAGTTCGTAATAATAAACACACAAGCGCAGAGGGGGAGAGAAAAAGAGTGTGTGCCTGAGTGTGTGTGTGTGTGTGTGTGTGTGTGTGTGTGTGAGAGAGAGCGAGAGAGAGAGAGAGCAAGAGATAGGTAAACAGAGACCCCAAAAAAGTTGAAATCCGATTGTAACCGTCCAAACGATCGATCGACGAAGACTCATCCATCTCTCCCTCGAGCGTGTATACACCCAGAAAAACGTTTCCGTCTCTACCTGAGCTCAAGTAGACGAATAGTCGCTCTGTCTCCAGAAAGTTTTCGCAACGCCGTGGGAAGAGGAAGGAGCCGATTACGAGGGTCAGAGCGAGAAAGAAATTGTACGCGGGCCACGGCGACGAGAGTGTGAAAAGCCGACGGGGAGCCAATGAGATACGTATCTCATCCCTTCAAGAGACAAACCCTCGAAAATCGACGGACCGATGGATCTTGCGCGCGCCCATAATCCCGTAGACATTAACTTTTTCCGTGTAAAAGTTTCTCTCTCCATTCAAGCGAATACATTTCCAATTATTAATATGAAATATTCGATCTGCTGGGATCAACTATCTATCGGCTTATCTTTTGACATGTTTTTTTTTTTATTTTTTTTTTTGTTTGTTTTTGTTTGCTCAACGATTGAATACAATAGCCAGCGAATTTTTAATAGGATGAAAAATATAATATATTTTGCATTGATTGGTATTGCATTGACGACTAACTACTTTCAAGATGATACGATCAACCATATCGACTATATATTGACAAAGGACAGGGAAATTCGTAGGAAAATTCACATTTAAATAACGTATGAGGTTCGATAATTATTTTTTGCTTTAGATATCGTTTAGATATCGATAGGAATGAAGTAGGAGAATGAAGAATGCAAATTCACAAGATTAAAATACGTACGTGTCGATTGTGCGCCAGATTTTTAAATTACAGATGTAAAAGTAAAGGGGAAAGCGGGCTTGTTTATTCAATACGCGTCGAATGTTTGACTGTTAGAAAGAAGAGAAAAAAACGGAAAAGTAAAGAAGTGAAAAAGAACAAAAACAAAACAAAAACAAAGCAAAAAAAAAAACAAAAACAAAAAAAAAAACAAAAAAAAATGATATTCCTGTGGGGAAACGGCTGAAACGAGTTTTTTTTTTTCTTTTTTTTTTCTTTTTCCAAGTATTTTGAACGAGTTAGGAGAGCCTAAGAGTAAGGCAACGGAGTAACTGAACTCTCGCCACTGAGTTACGGCAATTGCCAAGTGAGGTCATCTACGAGCAGTTTATAAGATGTGTCGTCGACGCGACAAATTAATTGAATGAAGCCACCCTTTTGCCTCTGGCGGGGCTGCCCATGCCATCTCGGGCCTCCCTTGAATATTTTCGAGTCGGCTTTTAGCCCAATGGCTTTGAGCTTTGTTTTCCTTGCTTAAACGTTCTCGGGGGCCTTTGTTTGAAAGGCATTAATGACTTTTTCGCTCTCAATATTAATTTGACTGCCGCTTTAACGAGAGGTAATGTACTTTCGTTGAAAGCATTATCGGGCTTTCCTTGGCGCTTTTTGGCTCGGCCTCTCGGCTCTCGTGCGAGAAAATGAAGACGATTTCGCGAAAAAAAAAAAATAATAATAATATCGTCGTATTTTTAAAAGCACATTTCAAAGTACGGGCTGCTAATAAAGCTGCTGGGAACTTTACCAACCGCAGCACAACGGCAAACTATTTGAGCGTCGCCAACATACCATAACGAAATTCATCATAAATCAACTCGTCCCATTTAAACAAACAATGAAGAAAAAACGATAGAGAAAGAGGTCCGCTCGATAAATGTCGACGATCGATTTTTAACCATACGACGAAATTAATTAAAATTTAATTAAAATCCTTATTAAAAAGCTCCCGATGTAATATCATAATTGGGAAATTGAGAATACTTGCATTAGTGCAACTTGCAAGTGCGATAATTTCAATTCTTTGCATCGATTGCGCTTCGATGCAACCATTCAAATGTATTCAAATTATGACATAAGAGCGATAAATATTTTTTATACATCGTTGCGTAAGGGAATTTATCCTGAAAAGCAAGCCTCGTAAAAATTCGCGGCAGTCTCGAATTCCATGCCCCGGTAATAAATACGAGAGAATTATCGAATCGGCCGACGACGGATAATACACAAGCGTAAGCCAATCGACGTCTCCATTTGTTTACCAAACGCCTGACAAAATTGAAAGTCCTACCGCGGCCATTCATCGCCGACAACAATGATGTTTTGGCCAGCAAGATTCGTAACGACAATTGGCGCAACCTTCGAGAGTCCGGCGGCCCCCTCTAATCAAGCCTCGAAAGAGGAAGGGGGCTCGGAACAAAGCTTCGTCGCCCGGTCGAAGATGCGGGCGTCGCGCCGGCATGACGTCGGCCCGCTCCTTATCCACGACAACGTCTTCCTCGCTCGCTTAAATTGCCCTCGATGTGGGTTTTGCTCGCTTTTAAAAGGACCGGAGAAGCCAGCAATTTCCTTATCCGATTGGGCTTATCGGGATTCCTGTCCCCGGGGAAGAGCGATAAGTTACGACGTTCGATGCATCCTTACCTGGATGGATGGCTGCTTGTGTTGTTTGTCGAGCAATTAATTATTCCCGAGCTTTACTCGTTCCCAATGGCTCGAGTGCCTTGCGATTTCGGCGCTCGGCTTTTCAATTTATCCTCACATTCAATTGTAATTCGTAAATTATCTGTCAATTTTCTTTTTCCTCTTCCTTTTTTCTTCTTCTTTTTTTCCTCTCTCTTTTTTTTCTTTTTTTCATCCGACTAATTTTTGTTTCTCCATACTTTGCAGAGCGAATGCTCACGTAATACATCATTAATCGGAAAACACCTGCATCGTTTTTTACAACAACGTCATAAATTACGCATTAAATGCAACTCTTTGCAGCAATTCCATGTACCCCATCATTCGAAATATTACGCTCCAAACCCTCGAGCCCCGTCCCAATGGACATCTTCTTGTGGTTTCGTTCCCGCGCGATCCAACCGCCACCCCCGTGTACGGATCGTCGGGCTCCTCGTCGTTAATATCCCCCGCACGAGTTTCTCACGAGTAGCTCGACCCCTCCCCCCTCCCGCCGCGCCAACGTGAAGCATGACCTTGGCGGAGGAAAGGGAAGGTCCGCGAACCCGACATATGGCCTGGTATGGACTTTTAAACTCCTAGTAGCTCGTCGTCGTGAAAGGCCCTCCCCGCCATATGTCGCTGCCCTCTTATCGTCTCGGGGCCCGAACTTGCGGCCTTAGCTTTTCGGTAAGATCGCTCCTATTCGATTTCCCTCCGTCGATCAAAGCCAAACGACAATCCTTACTTCACGACGTCGCGAACGCTCAGGATCTCTCCGCGCTCACGTCGTATCGACGGCTCCTGCGTTATCCCGGCGATCCTCGGCCAATTTGTTCCTCGCGTCCTTCACTCTCTCAGCCACTGCGTGTCACTCGATGTCGCTTACTTCGTGCCCAAACATCCCTTGGATTAAGCAAATTTCGCCTACTCTAGAATCGCGTATCTTGGTGCTCTACAATGCCACCGCATCGCCAATTATCTCCCCACTCGCCATCCCAATAAATCGTCTAAAAATAAAGATAGACAAAAGAAAACTCTCTCTATCTCTATCTCTCTCTCTCTCTCTCTCTCTCTCTCTCTCCAAACCATTAGGCTTCACGAAACGAAGTTGCCTAATTGATTATCGGCGAGCTCTTGGCTTATGAATTATCCCATACAGGTCACATGAAAATTCACTTAAATTTTGATGGATTTCCGAGGTCTCGCCACGCTGTGTCGTCGTTACAACATTCACCGGCCAAGTCGATATTCCACTCGAGAATGCGCAACGCGTGTCTATCAACAACTCCTTTCGAGTACGTCGTGCGACAAGTCGTTTACGCATTCTACGGGTACGTGGTCTCGACTATCCCGAGCCTATTCAAGCCAGGGTGAAATAAGGCCCGACGTTTCCGGTAACACGTGGCGGGGATCACTGGACCGCTTCCGCCTCGAGCTGCCAAAGTGAACTGCACTTCACGTTCTCGGCAGGACGCAAGAAAACGGTGCCCATTTGCGTATTGGAGCACACATGTTATGGACAATCGACCTATTGAAGTTCTATTTATTTACGTCGTGGCTATCCATTCCACTCACGGTTGATTACTTTTTCAATGATAAGAATTACTCGATAAGCTACTATCGTCGCTTTCATTTTTAATCTTTCAATAAAAATGCAGAGAATTATGATAAATCGACAATTTTACGCTGCTTTGAAAATACAACGAACGATTCTTATTGATGAAGCTTTTTCACTTGCAACGTGCAACAAAACGCAACCCATACGCATGACGCTGGTTTATTATTTCAAAATCTAATTGACTTCTTCAAAGAGCGATACCGCCGACAATGTAGCATTAACACAACTATCGAGTTTGAAAATAAAATTCTGAACCCTCCTAATTTCTTAAAAAGTAATGTATCTTAATTATAAAATTATATGCTAATTGCATCAGTTGTTGTGTCCGTGCGTGCGTGCGTGCGTGCGTGCGCGCACACGTGTGTTCGTGTATGACAAAAGGGAGGGAGGGAGAGAGAGAGAGAGAGAGAGAGAGAGAGAGAGAGAGACTGCATGATTGGGGTCCGAGCAAATGTAATTTCGGAGCTGCCGCAAGGAAGTTTTTTAAATATAAAGTCACTTGCTGGTCATTCCTCGTAAAGCCAGTTTGTTTACCATTAATAATCCTAATGCAGAAAGCTCCACATGCGCCATTCCTACTGGCTGCATTATCGAGTTACTCATCTAAAGCTGAAAAAGTTCCACATTCCCAGTGCGCGCATTATCGAGTTACTCATCTAAAAATTGACGAGTCAGACGACCTGTCATAAAGTGGCGCCACGGACTTGTCCTAGGGGAGCAGGCGGTGGAGCAAAGGTGCCAGCGGTTATCATAAAAGGCCGGTATCGGACCGCTCGAAGGACAAAGTCAGACAGACGCGCCGAAGGAAGAGGATATCGTGGAAGCGCGTGGGAGACGTGTGTGCCACGTGGCCTGCACGAAGCACACGATCCTCGGATAGGCGATACGGCATGCGTGACTGCGGGCAAAGTGGTCGTTTTTCCAGACGTGTCATGGGTGAACCTCACTCTCCCTCCGTCCTCTCTTTCTTCTCCTTCTCATTCTCTTCCTCCGAACCTTCCTCCGACCCCCAACCCCCCCCCCTCCCCCCACCTCCCTCCATGACTCCTCCTTCTCCTCCATAGCCGCTGCCGCAGCCGCAGCCGCCTTTGCCTCCTCCTCCTCCTTCCTACTCCTCCTCCTCCTCCTTCTTCCTACTCCTCCTCCTTTTCCTCCTCCTTCTCCTCCTCCTCTTTCTCCTCTTCCTCCTCTTCCTCCTCTTCCTCCTCTTCCTCCTCCTCATCCAGCGAGCTGGAAAGTAATGACACTTCTATTTTCGGCTTCCGTGCACACACACGTGTGCCCTCCAAGTGGTTCTCTCGTGTTTTTTCTTTCCCTCCGCACTCTCTCACCCTCTCACTCACTCACTCGCTCACTCACTCACTCACTTACTATCTGTCGCGGTCTGTCTCGCTCTCTGCCGACCTATCTGCCGCTCTATCTCACTCTCGCTCTTTTTCTTCCTCCTTCGACTTTTCTCGCATGGAGAAGACGTCGCGACGGGACACGAGTTTCTACTTGCCGGTGGCTTCCTTCTGTCTGGCTCTTGTTATTCTTTTTACTATTTTCTCACACGTGACGGTTTTCTTAGGAGGGGACCAGTGGCACGCATGGACTCCACTTCGCTCGCTTAAGTGTTTCGACGTTATGGATTATTTTTTTCTTCTTTCCCTTTCTACTCTTTTGAGAATCGGAGTTGAACGACTGCCTGACTGACGCTTTGACGGATTTCAAATTTTTGCGCATCACCGATTCCTTTCCTCCCCCCTCCCCCACTTACCAATAACATAATATTGCCCAGAGTAAAAAAAATAAAAAAAAAAGAAAATGAAGAAGAAACCTTCCTACCGTCCTTAATATTGTTATTTAATAGCGAAAATGATTATACGTATTTGGCGAAATTTTCAAGGCGCTTCATCATTTAACATATCTGGATGGTTCGTACGCGCATTCGTCGGGTATTCGCATGCAGTTTGAAACGATTGGATTGTACTTTCTTTGGAAATATTTAAAAGTTGTCGTGTACTCGACGACAGAGCTTGTATTGTATTTTCTAAATTGCGAAAGGAGACAACACAGGCCCTAATACTACTACTAATAGCATGTGATTATGTGCATTAAAAACGTCTAGAAATTGTCAGTAATACTTGAGTAATTTCTTAAACATTCAACACATGGACTAATTTCTCTCCAAATACCTGTTTATACGTCGCTTCGCACATGTTACCAGACAAAAATAGAGAAGAGTAGAAAATTACCCTTTTCCTTATATCCTTCTTTTTCCTACAAGAAAACAGGTTGCGCGTACCGTCCTTTATATTGTTACATTTTTCGAGAATTAATTACCGTGTAAAATACACTTCATCAATCATTCACCGACTAATTATCAGTTAAAATATTTTATTCTTATGAAAAAGGCATTGAAGACAATTCTTCCCGTACACGAGATAAAAGCCTTTCAAAGGCAAAGATGAGTGCGGGGCTATTTGCAACAACGTCGAGCATAGAAGTCCTCCTCCCCGGCATGGTAATTATTAATCAAACGTAGGAGAAACGAGCGAAGTATGAAGTGGGAGGTTGAGCAAAGGTTGCGATAGCGTTGAAAAATCTAGCGACTAATCCAGGTAAGTTAATCATCGCGCATCAATCGGAATGGCTACCTTGCGCAGTCTCGTTGTAAAGTTACGGTAACAGATGTAATGTAGAGGCAGCATAGATTTTCGGCATCAAGATTATCGATTGGGGCCCCGGGGCCACGCACTGCACATGTTGCCCAAAGCAGCTACGCGGGAGGACGCGTCTTGGAAGAGGAGGAAGGTTGCGAGGCAAGCAGGCAAGCGGGCAGGTTGAAAGTCGAGGAGGAGGTGAGGGAGGTTATTGGGATTATTGGGATTGGATTTGGTGGGCGGGATGGGAGAGTCGGAGGAGTAGGAGCGGTGGATGGGATTTGGGTGAGGGGTAATGTTATGAGGGGCGTGGTGATGAGGGGATGGGTCGGGGGGTACATGGAAAAATTGAGGACTCACCTCGAACTCGCGAGCGCAGCCCGGGAGAGGGTCGTCAGACGTGCGCGAGCCTCTGCTGGGCCGTGAGTTGTTGGTGGTGTGTCTGCTGATGCGCCTGCTGATGCTGCCCGACGTGATGATGATGATGATGATGATGGTGATGATGGGCCTGGAGCTGATGGCTTATTCGGCCGTGCTCCTGCTCCCACCAGCTGACCACGTCCAGGAACTCGGTGCCGCTGTCAGCGGCGAGCTCGTGCTTGTAGTAGGTGGTACCCGGGAGGCCGTCGGCACTCGCAGCGACGTAAACCAGCTGGGCACCGGCCGCCGCAGCCTCTTCGTCACCCTCGAGCTTCAGCGGGACGAGGCGCCCGGTCTCCGGATTCTCGATCAGGATCTCACCTGTGTAGGGTGTAGGGACGGTAAGGAGGGGCGCGCTGTCCTCTTCGTTCGAGCGGCGACTCTCGTCCTCGTCCAGCATACAGATCTCGCGCTTAATCGTGGCCAAACTGCTGCTCGTAATAGGCGAGGTCGAATGTACGAGGATTGGCGAAAAGCCACTCATAATGTTGTTGTTGTTGTTGTTGTTGTTGTTGTTGTTGTTGATAATTATACTGCTATTGCTGTTGCTACAGCTGCTAATATTGTGGTTATTGGCGTTGTTGTTGTTTAGGGGCTCGATGTTTTCTTCGTCGCCGAAGGAGGATTGACGGGAGGTGTAATACGTCGTCGGGGAGTTGCGTCGACGACGTGGCGCTGAACTCAATAGTGTGCGATCTCGATTTTGATTCTCCGAAAGTCTGAAATTTAGGGAAGACATGTTATTAATTAAATTTCTTGTAATTTAATAAACATCGATGCCGAGGATTATAAGTACAAGGAATTTACTTTGCGCGATTGTTGCCGATGCACGTTCGGCAAATATGTTGCACTTGAGGGGACAGCCTGAATAAATAATTTTAACGATTAATGTTCTAATAATCGTGTCTAGCTGTGTTAATAAGCGCTCGTTACTTTGGCGTAAGCAACTTGAAATTCATCATTTACAATAAAGGAGAATGTGCATGATGTTTTCAGCGAGCGATACAAACAACATACTAGCAATCGGTACTTCCTCTGTATAATTTTAAATTTAATAAATTAAATAATTTAAGTGAATTTCTTTTTAATTGGAAATTTGACGTTTCACTTTGCCTAATTGATTCGCGTACGTCGAACGAATAAATTTATAAAAATTAGCGCTTAATTTAATTTAGAAATTAATCGATCGAGTCCTTGAATCGGTGAAAAAGCAGTAAAATATATCGTAGATGGATACCGCAAATCGCAAACGTTAATTATTAAGAGGGACGTAATATAAAACTATAATTAATAATTGCGTGTAAAACATGAATTTTAAACATATTTTTAAAAATAGCTATAATTATAATATTAATGAAAACCATCAGTCAACTAAAGCCTCGGAGCTCTGTTTCTTAACTTCGAAAAATTTCATAATATCTCCAAAACAATAACCCTGGCTCGAATAAACATTCATTACAAGCATAATAATTAAGTATTTAAGTAAAAAATTATAATTACATAGAACGCTTTAATACTTACAAGCCTGATCATTTCAACTATTTTTGCTTTTTTCCTCAATCATAAGATTTTTATGCATATACTTTAAAAGACTGGTATTTTAATTTCACGATATTGTTCACATTATAAACAATAAAGCAAACGATTTTCATTCTCATTTGCATGGCGAAATTTTTAATCTCATCATTATTTATCAATATTTTATTATATCGCGACTAATTTACTTTTGTGTTATCATAGCATAGTTAGTAACGCGGGAAATGGAGAAAAAACGATTGGTTAAACGATAAAATGCAATTCGGTTGCTCGTTCTCGGTTCAAATGATTCTAGCATTGTCAATGAGCGACAAGGTTTTGTGAACTTTTCCGAAAGAAAAGCCACTGGGTATGGTACTGCATGCTGATCATTGACTTGATCGCTCCAGAAATTACATGAAACGCATCGGCTGGAATCTCAAATTCATCGTTTCCCGATCCTCCAACGTATTCTCGTTAATTGCCAAGGCAAATAATGCAGGCGAAGCCCTTTAAATGGCAGCTCCAGTTAAGCCGAGAACATTCCCGGATGTCTGGCTCGGAAAGGAGAAAAAAAGGGGCCCCGAGGAAATGCCGCCTCTCGTCCACCGGTAGAGAAGGAAAGAGGAAGGGCCCGGGAGGAAGGGAAGCCTCGCACGTACCTGTTCTGGGCTACGCCGTCATCCCGGAAGCGTTTGGCCTCCCGCCTCTCCTTCTCGCTGTCATCCTCGTCGTCGTCCATGAGGTAGGGCTCGGGCTCGTCGATGTTCGTGGTATCGCCGGGCTCGTCGAGCTCCGAGCTGCCGAGGCAAAGGACGTCGCCGCCCGAGCCGTTGTGCGTGCTCCCGGAGTAGACACTGCCCGCGGGCGAAGGTATCATCATGGAGGAGTCGTTGGGGTTGCGACAAGAGTCCGCGTACTCGAGGCCATCGGCCTCAGCGAGGAGCCTCTTCAGGCCCCTAATGTACTCCACGGCCATGCGTAGGGTCTCAACCTTCGAGAGCTTCTTGCCCCGGTCGCCGTAACCTTGTGCCACGTGGCTGGGAATGTGTTGACGGAGGGTGGCGAAGCCGTCAATGGTGTGCGAGATGGGGTGGTGGGGGGGGGGGGGGGGGGGGGGACGTTTAGTCGCTTGATCGAGACGGTGTGCTGGAATCTACTAAATTTACTTGCGAACGATCGTTAATGATAGATCGAGCGGAATTAAATCGTTGTTTATGAATTCACGAGGCACGTCAACATTGTCAGCTACTAGAATTAAGTATTGTGGTATATTTTGGCTTGCGATATCGTTATTCTAAGTTACACGAGTATAATTTTCAGACTGCCGGTCAAATAATAATCTTCGCGTCGTTCAAGTGTTAGTTTGTGTTGTGTGACAATTATATCAAAAACAGTGCCTACGCCTATTACTCCCTACGACTAGAATAGATCGAGCATGATTTGATTTGTTCACTTAAATTTGATCGATCGATTTAACGTTTGCCTCGACGTCAAAATGTCTCTTAAAACAGTGTTGGTAGCTTAACGAAAGTATACGTGTTTCGGATTGACTTGTGAAGAATTTTCAATAGGGCAAGAAATTTAGAAACTTTTATCGGGCACGACGAATGTATTTATACGTCGCTAACACTTTACTTATTAAGAGGAGACAAAACCTTAAGATTTTTCGTGTGTTTAAATAAGAAAAATAATAAAAAAATAATAAAAAAAAAAAAAAGAAAAAAAAAACGAAAACTAAAAGAAAAGAAAGAAAGAAAGAAAGAGAAAATCCACGTTTATTAATATGGAAGCTGCTTAAATTGATAAATACGTTTCCTCAATAAATACTTGTGAAATAAGCCAAGTTAATCGAAGAGTAATGGAAGTTTTCTGGTATTAAATTAGCAATGACGTAAGCATTCCTAACCTTAATTTTAAAAACGCTTGGTGCCAAACAATTTTTGTTATTAAACGTACGTGCATAATTAATGACTCGAATGGTCTCGTCTTTCGTAGGAAAATTATTAATTAACTAAGAGCATTAAATCCTTGGCTTATAATTTCCTTATTGCGCGAGGAATAATGTTAATAAATTGATGGTAAGAAAGTTTAATAAAAGATACACTGTAAAGTATCGTGCATAATGAATGATAAATGCCAATAGTTTTGATATATAGAAGCGTGCTAATCATCGTTTTATTATTAAAATATTGCTGAAAATGATAATTTCAATTGTCAAAGTTTGACGAGGCTGTATCAAGGGCTAGCAATTTGCACCATCAAGCATCAACCATAGGCAGATAAAAATTAATGAGTCGAAAGATGCAGTGTTTCGTTTAATTAACTATATCAAATTCTAGGCAATAAAAGCTCGTACACATTCACGTTACCCGTTCACGCCTTTAGATAATGCTTTTTCTTTCCGCTGATAATGATCAAATTTTATTTTACTTTTTTCTGGCGATACACTTTGCTTGCCTCGCGCTAGGGCATTATTAAATTTTTTTATAACGTTAACCTTCATACGCACTGTGTGAATTTTATTAGAACAAATCCAGCATTAAGACGTATCATTTTTATATTTACCCAAATGTATTTACGTATATTAAAATATTTAACCGCGTAAGAATGGTGGAAAAGCATATTATTATGAAAATTCAACGTTATAAGCCGCGGATGGGGAAGCCGACGATCTCTCACGTACACTCGTATAGAAATTTCATTCTTTGAGGTAACATATATATATATATATATATATATATATATATATATATATATGCGTTTGACGCTTTAACAGCAACATGCGCATTCGTATACGCGCACACGTACACATTGTTGTATTTACGCATCGCGACGTATAATTTTCTGGTGGCTCAAGTGGCCGATAGCAATTCCACTTTCCATAAGTATATAACGCACCCACACGCGCACGTGCACGCATATAGAAATGTAATGCTTGGATGTAGCATGTGCGTTGGAGGCGTTAACGCTCCATTGTCGAAATCGTTGCAGAAGACTTCGGTCAAGTCCGCAACTCTGTACAACCTTCGATATCTTCATTATTTGCGTGAATAGAGACAAGCACAATGTACGGTGTCCGGCACTTTGCGCAGCACGTGCAAACCGATCGCTGCATTTACCGAGTGCATTTACCGCGCGCGCTCTCTCTCTCTCTCTCTCTCTCTCTCTCTCTCTCTCTCTCTCTCTCGATCTTTCTTGATCTCTCTCTCTCTCTCTCTCTCTCTCTCTCTCTTTCGCTCTCTCTCTCTCTCTCTCTCTCTCTATAGTGCCCTGACGTACACACGCACACGCACACGCACATACGCACACACGCACACGCACACACGCACACGCACAGGCACACACGCACACATCCCATGCAGATACGATTGTTCACTCCAGCCTGGGTCAACACCTCCTCGTGCATCACTTCCGTCCCGCGTCGAGGGCGCTTCCCGCACGGGACATTAACTCGACACAAAAGACCGACGATTGGGAGTTCGGTCCGTTACCTGTTTCACCCTATTCCTCTCGCGCGCGTTCCTTTTGGCCACGGCGATCGGTGGCGGCTGTCCGTTCTTGCCGTGCTTCTTCAACCTGGAGGGATCGTAGGGCGGTAGCACCAGTTGCTGCTGCTGCTGTTGCTGCTGCTGCTGCTGTTGTTGTTGGACATCCCTCCTCGACGCATCGCTCCTCTCTTGGGACTCGAGCTTCTTTGGCACTCCGGGGTTCTCGCGCAGGCTGCGCAGGAGCAGAAGCTGCTGCTCCTCGGCGCGCCCGTAGACGGCGATGCCCATTGTCGACATTCTCGGGCTCAGGCCATCGGAGTGCGCGGATTGTCCAGCACTGGCCCGCGTGCCCGCCGCGTGTGGAATGAGGCGCGCGTCGGTTGCGCGTCGGATGGTTTGAATTTCAGCGCGCGCGCAGACACACGGGGAGAAGGGGAGAGAGTCGCGTGCGTGCGCGAGGGAATGGGGGGAGAGGCGGCGGCGGCGGCGGCGGCGGCGGCGGCGGCGGCAGCGGGCCACATCCCCCTTGGCTTTTTGTTGGGCACGAGGGGAGAGATCCGGAGGGAAGCGGACGTGGTGGGGAGCGGGAGCACGCGCCGCACGCGCGGTAGCAACAGCGACGGCGCGAAAGGATGCTCTCTCTCTCTCTCTCTCTCTCTCTCTCTCTCCCTCTCTCCCTCTCTGCCTCTCACAAAGCTCTCTGTGGGACGCGAACCTTTTGTGCGCCTACCCTCGTATGGGCACGGAGACGCCAAACGAGAAATATAAGGTGTACTTTAAATAATGGACGCTCGCTTAATTTTTCGGTGAAGCGCGCGCGCGCGCGCGCTCACGCATAGACGAATCTACTGGGGCGCCACGAGGATTACCGAGGATATTCCATGTACGTGGCTTAAAAAGTTTTACCTCGTACTATTGGCTTTTAAGTAAGTTGGTATGACCGGTCAGCTAGTGCCTATCCTACCCCCGTCTACCATAAATTTTACAAGGCTCGAGGCGTTCTGTTGCTTCGCCTTTCATTAGAGAAAAAGTGCCCTCTTATTTCGTGTAGGACAGCGCTAATAGATATTGCACTAGAGGATTCGTCGAAATATTTTGCACACCTAGCGGACGACTATGTAAGCAGCCGGGAAAAGCTTTTATAATGAAAATGCGCTGCAACTAAATTATTGACAAATTATGCTGACACCAGTGCTCCTAACTATAATTAATATATCGAAGAAGAAAATATATTTATTCGATATTTCATATCTTCCTAATCTCCGTCGTCTTCGTGTTTATAAAGTATTACGACGGTTGTATGCTTTTATATTTAATCTTGAAGATGTACTCTAAGATTAAACTTACGGTAAAATACACCGAACGTGGCCATAAGGAATTTTAATCAAATTAGCATTTCACATAGAATAACGTAGAATAAATGTATTTGGATGAAAAACACAAAAAGAAAAAGAAAAAACATAATTAACTTATTTAAATTTGTACTAAATGCTGTGAAATAGAAGTGTATTTTAAACATCGCGTCAATTTAATTGGAATACATGGATTGTATATGTTTGTGTGTTTGTGTTTGCGTGTGCTTGTGTGCGTGTGTTGGTGTATGATAGAAATGCGTCAGAAATATTGGATATTATCAAGTGAAATTATCAATATTGAATATTGAGCTAAATAAGTTTAAGCTTAATCGCTGAATTAGTTAGGTGCAGTTTGTAATTTTGTCACCCCTTCATATATAATATGATACCTTTCGTGAATAGTTGTGAAAAGATCGTAAAAGGCCCGCAAATGCAGCCGACGCTTCGAAAATGGAGAAAAGAAGAAAAAAAAAAAAAGAAGAAGAAACAAAAACCCCCCGGAGCAGGACAAATAATCAAATGCTCCGTTGCCACGTAATGGATCCATCAGCACTCGTCAACGTGAATAAATTTACAAAAAAAAAAAAAAAAATAAAATAAAAAGAAAAGATAAAAAAAAATTCACCACGGCTGATTACAAAGAGTACGTACGGTGCTACTCAAAAGAGACAGATAAACAGAATCCCGTGTGCTTCCCCTCCCTGCCACGAGCTATTCGCGCTAAAATAAGGCTCGACGAGTAGGATCATTCGCGTACGTGCCCCGCTCTCCTCCAAGGGTGGCAGCGACGACAGGGTGGATGCTTGTTGCGTGCATGCGTGCGTGCGTGCGTGCGCTGTGCGATGGATCGGGGCGGGGAGGGTGAGCGAGGT